ACTGTTCCCTTTAAGGGTTTTTTTTTCTTTCCATTTTTATATACAGCCCTACACAGCTGATGGAATTCATGAAAGTGGACTCTCCTTCCCTCTCTTCTGCCTGCATTTTTTCTTGCTCACATGGTTGCCCATCATATTGATATTAACTTTAACTAGATCAACTGCATTTTAAAATTATGGTGTTTTAATTGTTTCCATAAGATTCTATATTGCGAATTGGGATTTCAATGATTCGGATCATGCTTTCATAACAGGTTCATCCAGTATCAATGAGTCAGGTGATGTTGGAAGGAGCATACATCTTATTTTACAAGAGGTAGATATTTGGGTTGAAATCCACTACAATTACTTGGTCTCTTCTTTCCACGAATTCTACTGCTAGTTAATGTTTACATCTGTCCATGCTTCCCTCAACTTCTTGCGAGTTTTTGTTTCTTAGGTCCTGTACTCGCCCTCAAAAGCTAATTTGTGAGAAACCTATCAGGCAACAAGTTCCTGTATCTTCAAGACAGTGTACATCAAGAACTCAGAAACCCTCAAGACAAGAACAGAGAAGATGCAGCAGCCACTGTGTTGGCCCAGAGGTTTCATTGGATCTCAAACCAGAAAATGGTTCTGGCCTTGCCAATTATGCTAATGGCATTCCAAGGAGGAGTGCAAGCAAAAATATCACACAGGTGATGGATTTCTCCGATGCTACCTCAAGTGATTGGTCCATTTTTACAAGCTCAGACGAGGCATCTTTCACAACCGAGAGCACCAGAGACTCTTTCAGTACCATAGATTATGCTGATGCATGCAATGTAGATACATTCTCCTCAATTTTCAATGATCTGTATGCACCAGAATCATCTTACCGGAATACTATTTGCCGTAGAACATTTTCATATAGTAGGCCACAAACTAGGTTCATCTTGGAGACGGGCCATGTTTTGGATTCATACTCATCAACCCAACCTCCAGGGCATGGAAAGGAGAGAATTCCACACAGGTCTGTGATTCATCAACCCAATTCCTCACGGACAGTTCCTGCACCATGTCTGTAGGAAATGGGAGAATCACGAAGTATGGTCTTGTTTGATCTTCTGGTCATTGCAGACTATAGTGTGTAAATCCCTAATCATGACTAGTGACTTGGCTAGGTAGAAGCTGTACCTCAAAATTTTTGTTTTCAATACTTGGTTGATTGGGGCATGTGGATTGTTTTAGAGTCCCTAGGAAAGGAATATTCTTGTTATTATTGAAAATTGTAAAGTGCCAACATATCCAGTGTCCCCGTTTGTTTTAGTTTGTTAGTATTTTTCTATAATCTTAATAGAAAACTAATTTTTCACTTGCTTGGCTCATATTATATTAGCTAAGAGTGAATCTGTGCCTGACAGTTGTTAACCTGGTCAATATTTTTCTCAATCTAATTTGATGTGCAATGAAATATGACCGACAGTTTTCTTTCCTATTATGGGAGTGCTTTCCATCAGTTTCACTGCATGGTTGTCATTATTTAGGATTTGGTTAGGTTGCCATCATTTGAATTTAAATGTTCATCAAACAAGCAAGGTGAGCTTCTCGTAGTCATTGTTAATAGTTCCTAGGAAATTCTGGTTTTTCAGAGCAAATTACTACATTGCTATCCATGATGAAAGACACTGGTCCTACCAAGAACTTGAATTAACAGAAACTGTTGCATGAAACCCGTAGCAGTTTCAAAAATGTTTTTCTTGTTCAACTGGACTGCATACCTTAAAGCATGGAAGAACGAGGGAAATTTCTCCTGCCATTCATGGAAGAACTTGAATATTGCAAACTGTTTGCTGCAAGCAGAAATCAACTGACATGAAAGTGGAATCAAGTCCCGAGTCCTATGGATGTTAATACGATTGTTGTTTCTCTTCGTAGATAACTAGATATACGTGACTAGACGAACAGAGGGAATTTTATTCAATTTGACAAATAGCTGTTGCCTAGGATTTCTCACAAGAGGATATATTTATCTGTTCTCGCACTACGACCAACACAATGATCTCCTCTTACATTACTAGCAGCTCATCTTCTATGTAAAATTGCATCCATATCTCATTCACCCTGTTGTCAAATTCAAATGGAGAGTTGTACTGTGCAACAGTATAGACGGTAGTGGAATCAGGACGGCTTTTCTCAATGGCAGCAGCCCAAATGGTGTCAGCAAGACTAGCTTGCAAGGCAGCAGCTTCCTCTCCAACATTTGAGTCAGTGACAAATCCATTGAATTGCCTTACAGCTACATATGTCGGTTTCCATCTCTGAACGTGGAGGCCTTTCGCTGGAGGTGGATTAGCTTGGTTCTCTTTTGGGACATAGAAACTGACAGTGAATGAGGATTCACAGAAGGGTCCATCACTGGGTGATACTTCAGTGATCACCGGAGCTGTCATCTCTATTTTTTCTTCATAGCTATTCTTCCCTTGGATGTAGTCAAATAGCCTGCAAGTAAAGTAAAACAATTTAGCTCCAAAAGCATGGTTTATATAATACCTACTTGCCTAAGAAGAGGGCTAGAAGCATTAAGAAATTGTGTAATTAATAATCATAAAAAAACCCTAACCCTCTCGTTTAACTAGATAGTTAACTAGAGGGCAAACCTCAAATTTACCATCCAACTATTAAAGTAGTTTCAATTACACCCTCAATTTTTTATTTTTTTAATCAATCGTCACAAAAAAGAATTTTTATTTCTCAATTAGATCACTTTGTTAAATACAATTAACCGAGCTGTTAAGTATCCGCATCTTCCCCGCATGATCCTTACTGGAAGAGAGAAATTGAAGGGTGATTTTCCTTCAATGTTCGTAACAATATAATAAATGATGTGCTCCACATATAGGTAATTAAAAACATGGTTAAATTGAAAAATAAAATTTCTTTAATCGAATAATTGATAGAGAGAGAAAATATTCTGGATGCATAATTAAGACAATCCTCCATGAGAGAGAGGATTTGTAAGTTACCTTAAGAATCCAGTTCTGGTGGCATCAACAAGGGAGATATCTTGGATAGAAGAGGTGGACATCCAAACAGAAGAGTTATAGCGACGAATTTCATAGCCATTGCCAAGTTGAATAACATCAAACACTGGGCATTCTATGCGGGTGCAAGCAGGTGGGTATATCGCAACGCCGCTCCTCTTAGCCTCATCATGCCAGTGACCAAAGCTTGCACTTGAGAGAAGGGTCAAGAGAAATGATAGCTTCAACATGCCTAAAACCAGATATTTGTAGTAGCAGAAGGGATATTGAGAATTCAGCGCTCAGCCTCAAGAGGAAGAGAAGAGGTATATCCACATATTTATAGGATTTTGTGGGGAATGATTAATGAAGCCGTCATGGGTTGATTACCCTCATGCTTTGTAAATTATTTAGCATTTGCAGCCACTATAGAGCGTGGAGACGCTGATTTACAAATTTGTTCGATAACAGCAGTGGCTATTATGAAAACACGTGTAACATTATCATCTTCATACAAGAAAGCAAATGGCAACCGCAAATGTGGAGATTGGGATTGGCAACTGAAACAAGATGATTGTTGATGTCTTTTATATATATATATATATAGTTTTTTTAAAATATATTAAAATAATAATTTTTTATTTTTAAAATTTAATTTTAAATATATAAAAAAATTATTAATTTTAAATAAAAAATTGAATGCAACAAACCTCTATTTGAGTCTCTCACAGATGAAAATATTGTCGTGGATATTATTTGTTATTGCTCAATAATCATGTTTTTAAAAAATTTTAAATTTTAAATTTTAAATTAATATTTTTCATGTTTTTTATTGTTTTGATATTCTAATATTAAAAATAAAAATATTATTATAACATGTTTTTAAATAAAAATAAAAAACAACTTTTACCTCGTAATATTTATTAAAGAGATTCGTGATTTTTTTAGAATACTATCCATTTTTTAATTAAAAATATATTAAAATAATATTTTTTATTTTAAATGTTTATATATTAAAAAATAATTATTTAATATATTTTAAAATTAACCTGAAAAACAAACATATCCTAATTGAGGTAAGATGATCGGAGACGGATGTATAGGGTGCAGTTGATTTATGTTGTTTAATCAAATTCAACGGTGAAAAATGATCCATACAAAATATCGTAATTAATAAGTAAAGCACTTTACTTGGAATTTTATTTATTTATTTATTTATTTTTAAGAAAACAGAAAATGAAAAAAAATATCATTAAAACATTTGTCTTTGTCGCGTCCCTGAGGAGGGAAATACAAAGAAAATGCCTAAATTTTGTCTGAAAAATAGAGATAAAATTAAAATTTAGGTCCCATCAATAATTCTTTCCCCTCACATAGAACTATTGACTTTATAAATTAAAAATAAATGCAAGCAAATAAGGGCATAAAATTAATAATATAAAAAATTCACATAAAAAACACACCCAATACTCTCTCCCATGAAAATCAAAACATCATAAACCACAAACGAGGGATTCGCATGTGTTTGATTCAAGAAAATCCTTTTTTTTTTTTTTTACTATTTGAGCTCTCATAATTAATTATTTTATTTCATATTTTGAATTAATAAATAGGTAATTATAAAGCAAGGAAAGACAAGATTGGTGGGACTTGCTTTTTTCAATTTTATGTTTTCGGTTCTTATTCTTATTTTTATATTTGTTTTTTAAATATTTTTTATTTAATTCTTTATATATCTTTTATTCTTTATGATATTTTTAAATATAAAAAGTATATTCCAAAGAATACTCTAAACTTAACGACCACCATGGAAGGATTAATGGTGTGAATGGACCGGCAGTCAAGGGTTTGATTGAGAAATTTAAAAGATGAGAGATGCCTTTTAAGAGTCGATATTAACCCGGTTAAGTTGGGGATTTCCCATCTTTGTAGGGCCAAATAAGTAAATAACAACATAACTACACGACATATAAACAAACGCACAACTTAAGGCCACATTGTCGGTTTTAAAACGGCCAATCCTAATTCAAATTAAAACCCTAATTCCATTGCCTGCCTCCTCCTCCTCCTCCTCCTCCTTTTCTTGAGTGTCTTTTCTCTCATGTCACTGGTATTTGAGATTTTTACGGATTGTACTTATATAAAACTCCCATTTTTTTCCCTTACTATAAACGAATATGAATATTTATCAGTGTTTGTTTGCTTGCATTCTATCTTTGTTTGATACGCGCTGAAGAGGACTCCTCAATGCAATAGCTTTAGTATCGTGTCAGTCATAGAATCAATAGGTTTGATATTGAATTGCACTGACCCAAAATTTATTTTTTTCTTCATAACATGGCTTTTCTATATTAAAGCACGTACTTTGTGACATTTTTTTTTGGGTATTTTATCGAAAGTTTAAATAAGGGACCATGAGGAAACAATTAATGCGGCTGATCCTAATCTATGCCAAATTGCTGACTGCCCAGCGTTTTGCTGCAGGTGGTGGTTACATGGCTGGGTCAGCATTTGATGTTTGCCTTACTCATCTGAATGTCCTTTTTTTTTTTCTGGTAAATGATGGGAAAACTTGATTTTGAGGTCGAAGTTGGCTTATCATGTATCTGGGTTTTTCTTTATTAGAAATATAAAGAAATAGGCAGATTGGAAACTGATGAATAAAGCAGGTACTTATGATAGCTTGTCATATCTAGATGTTCTCCTGGTGCAGCATATATTGATGTTGTGCTGAGCTTCTATGATATGTCTATATGACTAAACCAATTATCTGCCAACTGATTCCTTCTCCATATATGATATTTGAGTTTCAAGTTTACGAGACTAATTGCTTGTGTTGTTTAAATTAGAGCAATTTTTTAATCTGTTTGCTAAGGAAGGCTATCTGTAGCAGATTGCTGGCTTCCTATCTGTAAAATGTCAGGTTTTTAAGCAGTAGCTATTTACTGGAAGTGTTAAAACCTTCAACTTGCATGCCGTCCAAGTCTGTTGGATTGTGTTCTTGTTGTTCTAGAAAAGTTACAAAAGAATTTGATATAGTTGGTATCATATGGTTGGATGTCAGTGATTAAAAAGAATCGATGCTATCCTTGAGAACCTAGGGTTGTGCATAGGAAAGGGGATAATTGGGAACTGCCTTGAGCTTTGAAACGGGGAGCATGTGAGGTTGTTGGAGTTACAAGTATTAATCACTGCAAACTAGATTCTAATATGAGATCGCATAAGCTTGATTTGCTAAATTTATCAGGTTCATTGATTAAGAATAGCAGATTACGACCAGAAAAAAGAAAAGAAAAAAGAACGGAAATTAAGAACAGCTTATTAACAGGAAAGTATATCAAAGTATTTATGATTACTGTTAATTCACTTTCATCTACAGTTTATTTAACCGAGTGAGGTATCATCCACTGCTCTTGATCCCTTCAATTTTTGGTTTGGAGAGATGGCTAGATACCTGATACCTTAACAAGTGGATGAGGATTTACTAGTACATTCACCATGTCTGTTAAACTGTTTGGCAGTGTGCTTGAGCTTATTGTGAATAGTTCTTTTGTAGAATGTTTCTTTCTGCTTTCAGGTTTTAAATACACTTTTTACAGTTGCGTACAAGGAACTGGTGGGTACTTTAGCCACCAAATAATTTTAATGTTGATGGAGAGGTGCAAGCAGAAATTTCCGCCGCTGATCACATTCTTGCCTGATCATTTCGCAATCTCAAAGTATGAGGGACGAGTTTCTTGAGGTTTGCTGATTCTCTCATTCAGCTGAATCTCAAGAAAGCCTTTCCTGTTCCATGTGATAAAGGCATCCTTTTATTTGTTGCATTCACTCTCCAACGAGTCCAAGGAATTTCTTTCTTTCCTTTGTTTTTTTCTTTCTCTTTATACCTAATACATGTGTGTGGCCAATCTTATTATATCTAGTTTTCTGCTTCATTTCATTTTAAAAGAATCTGAAGATATCATCAAGGCATATCAAAGGTGAATGTGCAGTTCGTCTCTCCATCAGTAGTTTGACATGAGAATTTTGCCTCCTATTGTCTAAATTATCTTCATGTCCTTTCTACTATTTCTGGTCCTTTGTGCTGTCTGTACTGCTATTATGCGTGTGGCGGATTGGAATAGGGACCTGCTAGTGAAGGCAAGGAAAAATGGTGTTGGCTTCTGCAGTTATGGTTTTGTGAAGGATGCATAAAGGGATTGCAGTCATTTTTGGCGAGCATGTTCCTCACAAGTTGACATTTTCTCTAAGCTTTTGAATGTCATGCCCGGAACCCTGTGCTGTTCAATTTTGTTTTTCAAACTATGTATCAGTTTAAATTGTATAGCCTTTCATTGTTGATGCCTGGAGTATATTGTTGGTAATAATGTGGAAAAAATTGAGATACGTTTTCCTTCTCCTATTTGAAGCTGACAAATATTAGATGAGACACTCATTATCTTCTCATTTGTATCAGTTACATTTGGAGGGCATTGATGTGCTCTAAACCTGAAAGCAAATCGGTGAATGTGGCTTTGATCTCGTGTAAATTAGTGTAGTAGAAACTCTGCACATTTTTGTTCTATTTTGTCATGCCACATAATTAAATTGAAAGATTTTGTTTCAATTTACCTGATTTTTATTTATGTTCTTTGCTCTTCCTTCGAGATTTATCTTTGTGAAAGTTCCAGCATTGCAGACCATCATGGTTTAGGCTCACCTGAGCATGTTCTGGCCTAGAAGGAGATACTTTTAAATTAAAGCACAAAAGCACCTCAAGGAAGACATTTCCTTCTCTTTTAGAGAAAAAGCACATGCTTCTACTACATAACGTGCAGGATTACATTTTACAGTTTCGATTCAAGAAACAGGACAACATGTTTGATTGATTGATAGTTGTGTAAAAACTGGGCTGATGAAATTTCATATTTTCCATACGCTTCAAGATTCAGTCTCATCATGCTAATATGAGACCTATTAAGATTCCATGCATCAATTTTCAACTGAGCTTGAGGTAACGCAAAACCAAGATAGTGTTGTTGGTGAGTCCGGTTTGTTTCTACTTGGAAATCCATGCCCATGTATATGTGGTCTTATGTCAACTGTTTGTGGAATGAGCTCGGTTCACAGGCAAGTCAGTGACTGTGCAAAGTCCTGTTTGTTACTAAAACAACACTTCTTGGCGATCACTTTGAGAGGGGTTCGGTGATGATTCCCAGAGTAGTGACATGGCAAGACTTGGCATAGCACTGAAACAAAGCATGAACACAAGCTTTTAAGTGGATGACTCAATTTGTTTTATAAAACAATACAACACGTGTTTCCGGTGGCATTTTCTATATTTGCAGCAGCTGCACAACACAGAGAAATGGAAGGACAAAATGAAGAAGAAAAGAAAGATCACCAGGACCATCTTACAGATCTTACTGAATTGATTTTTATCGAAGTTTATGATACCAAGTCCCACTGCTTATGCCTCTGAGTTTCCAATCACTTCTCTTCCTTTGTTCCCCTGATCAAAATCTCCTAGGTCTTTCAAAAACTCCTTCAGGAATCTCATTAAAAGAAAAAAGCATTTCGAATTCCTTATATGCTATATCCTCTTCTGTGCTCTGTTTTTTTTTCTCCAGTGCTCTTCCTTGGTTTGCTTTTATGGCAGAGGTCTTTGTTTTGTGTTTTGTTGCTGGAAGTAGTGGCTTGCATCTCCTTTGCTGGTGCTTACGAGTTGCATTTCTAGTGTTGGCATCTGGTTGGTCTTTGGTTTTGTTGGTTTTTTTGACCGGTTTCCCGTTGTTCTTCCAGACATTTCTACTTGGGTGATTTGGTTATGTTTTAGCCACCATCTTAGTGGTCTCCTCTTTCTGTAATTTCTCTAAATTTAATGAAATTGATCTTATTGCAAGAAATTAAAAAATGTCATTGCTCGTGTGGAGGGCTGAGGCACGTGTGGAAAGTTGTGTAGCGGAGGTAGCCTTGTAATCTTAAGCGGAGGAAGCCTTGCAAGAATCGTTTCAGAAACTCAGAGCAAATTGTGTTTTTTAATTTTTTTTTAATTGTTTTTATATTTTTAAATTGTTTTAATATCTTGATATTGAAAATAATTTTTTAAAATAAAAAAATTTATTTCATTACATTTTTAATCAAAAAATATTTTTAATCATAACTACTATTATAATTCCAAATACATTCTTACCAAGTAAAGCATGAGATGGCAGACTTGAGTTTTAAAAAAATAATTATTTGTTTTATTTATGATTACATATGAAAAAAAAAATAGATGTAGAATAAGAAAAGAAGAATAAAAAAAAGTATGGGAAAATAAAGAAACAAGTAAATAAAGTTGTAAGTAATATATATAAATCTACATGTATCTTATCATTGATTATAATAATTATTAGTTGATTATAATAATTATTAGATAAATGACTCGCCAGTGTTGTGTTATATTAATGACATTGTTAAAAAAATTTATTGTATAAAAAAGATGTTGAAATGATGATTGTACTATAAGCAATCGATTAAATATTCAAGTTCAATTCTATAACAAATATAATATTAAAATATAAAATTATAAAAAAATTAATGTTTTTTTTAAAATAACCTTTTAAAAAATATATCAAAATAATATTTTATATTTTTAATGTGATTGAAATCTAAAAATATTATAAATATAATAAAATCTTATTTAAAATATGTTTGAAAATCTTAAGCAAAACAAAGACTTAAATTGATTTTCATGAATAATTTATTATTGGTATTAATATTTTTTTATCAGATGCATAAATAAAATTATTTAATTCAAGTATAAATTTATAATAAGATTTAAATATCATGTCAAAATTAAAGAGAAGAAAAGAAAAGAAATAGAAAAGAGCTAGGCCCTCACCTGACCATCTTGTATTTTTTAAAAAGAGAGAACAAATAACATATTGTCTGTTAAAATATAACATTGACAACCAAATGTGAACACATTATGTCGTGGATTTCCAGCGTGCTACCAACCATGCTAAGCTATTGTATTGTTATGAACCAACTTAAAACATATCCTAAGGTATTTTATTTTTCATATAAATAGTAAAACACTATAATGAATTCCAATTTTTATATAGTATTTATATCATAATTTTAAAATCTGATTTAATTTGATAGATCTACTCATAATCTAAAACTAAAATTAAATTAGGTTAAAAAACAAAAACAAATAAAAAAAATCTAGTATAACTTCATAAGTTGACCCGACATGACAAAACCTTATTAAAAATTTAGTTATAACTACTAATTTTTAATTTTTTATTAAAATAATATTATTTTAATTTAAAAAAAATTGATTCCAATAATCTGATAACCTAATTAAAACTAGAAACTCGGCAGGCCATCAGATTATATCTTAAAAATATGGTTCGAATAATTCTAGAAAGGAAGTGAATGAATATTGGAACTAATGAAAAAAAAGAATTGGTGAGTTTTTGTTATGAACACATTTTTTCTTGTTTCTTTTTCATGGTTTTTTATTTTGCTGACACGTCCCAAAATATAATATTCTTTGTCAATATTTTTAGTTTTCTCGTGCTATATACGTAGATATACAAATTTGTATGTAGTTATAGATTTTACAACATTTTAGGTTTTATTAAATTGATGAGATGCTAGAATAAAAAAAATCAATTTTAATATTTTTACAGTTTTTATACCAATAAATATTATTGGTAAATGTACTTTTTGAAAAATTTATTTATTATATTTAATATTATAATAACAATTATTTTTTAAAGTATTTTATATAAAATAAATAAATCTAAATAATATTTTTATTATTATTTGAGAGCCTTCTTCTCCTTACCGGAAAACTCCTTTCCATTAGACACGTAGGAGATCTGGGTTGCCGTCAAAATCTGTCCAATTTGATTGAAGGGGTCCCGTGGTGCCTGTACTTGATTGCTCAATAATGTTGGTGGTCGAGCCCAGGCCAGGTGGTCCAGATCTAAGTCACGGGTCTCTGGGGACCCACATGATTTATGAAATATCTTTCGATTCCTAATCTTTAATTGTTTTGTCAATATAGTCCCTAAACATGTGTTTATCGCATTATTGACGGATATTCAATAAGACATTTACTTCAGTGACAGAATTTCAAGATCAAAGTCGTCAATCCCCCATTTTGTCTTGGAAATCATTTTTTATTGCTACGAGAAATTTTAAATCTTGGCTTTCTGTTTGGACTTCAAAATCTTAGATGTATATACTAAAAAAAAAGGGAACAATATTATTAAAAGAAACTAAGCAGTATGGAGAAATCACCACGACAGTTTTTTTCTCCTGTTCACTTTCTCTCGCAAATCATAGTAAATTAAAATAATGGTTTTTTTTTTAATTTTTAATTTCATTTTAAAATTTGTTTTGCATAATTAGTTATTTTAAACCCAAATTAACGCTCTATTATATATATTCTTAAGGAAGGGTGGATTGAAACTCATAGGATCATCAAATTGAAAATAACATGTAAAATTGATGATGATTTTAAATTTCATTTGAAAAGTTTATTTTGATCCTCATCTTTTTTTATTTCTAGGTGATTGATCTCTTTAGTTTTTACAAATTCTATTTTAGTACTAAATTTTATTTTTTTTATTTTCAATTTTTTTTGTGAGATGAAAGAAAGAGGGCCACCAAATTTTAATGTAAAGAGAGAAAATTGTTATTAATAAAGATTTTAACCACCAAAATGATTGAAATCGGTTTAAATAAGTTCTATTTCATGAAGGTATTTTCACCTAAGTGTTTGTTATTCTTTTTCTTACCCGAAGAGGTAGATTTGACCGCAAAAATGTTTTTAAGTTTGGATTAATTTTAGATTTTCAAGGTTATAGATATATTTATCAAGGTGTTTATGGTGTTTCTGGGTTTTTAAGCCAAGAAAATTAAAACTTTATTTTTTTTAGCAATCTTTAACTACTAAAATCTATAAAAAGTAGATGACGCGTTGTCATCCTTCTTCTTTTTTTTTAAAAAAAGGATGTTTAATTTAAAAAATTAAAAAAATATATAAATAGGCTTAGACATGACTCTTTTTTTTTAGCATATGTGCATTAGGCCATCAGGTCAACGAGCTCGAGTTTCTTTTATTTTTTTTTGTTATTTTATTTTTGGATTAAAAAATATTTTTTTAAAATCTAATTAAGTTCATAAGCTGGGTCACATATTTAACAAGTTAATCCTATATATATATATATATATAAATGCTTTTTTCTCTTAATTAAAAATATATAATTTTATTTTTTATTAACTATTTGTTTTATTTATTAACTCAAATCTAAAAAAAATAAAAATCATAGATTCACCAACATAAGCTCTGGACGTTCATAAAAGTAATGATATTGGAAATTTGAGAGTGTGAAGAGTACACGAGGATATTATAACTTTGCCCAAGTAGTTTTTGTTTTTTGCCATTACGGAGAGTTAGATGATGGAAAACCAACCTATGACATCTTTGTTGCAGGCTGTTTTATTGGCAACCGTGTTGGTGGATGT